CCATTTTTTATATTTTTAATGAAGTTCATTGATTTATTTCAAATGTTAAATATACTTTGCCTGAGAAAAACTCTATTTTATCCTCACTATATTACTTAGTTAGATTTTATGTTACCTTAAAATTTTAGTATCTCTTCTCATGAAGCCTTCCCTTTCTTCTTCTCTCCTTCCCTCCCCCTCCCTTTCCTTTTTTCCTTTTTCCTTTTCATCTTATTTTGGTATCATATAATTTCAGCTTCCTAGAATTACATAGAAAACATTTTGTCTTTATGTTTTTTTGGAGTTTGTATGGAGGTGATAGTTCTTCCTTAAGTATTTGGCATGTTTTACCAGTGAAATCAAGCAGACCTGGAGATTTTTTTTGTGGAAAGACTTTAACCTACAAATTCAGTTTTTTTTTTCAGTAGATATGTGCTATTAACAACTTTGTTATGTTCTTGAGGTCTAGCTACTTCAGCAGATCTCAGATATCCAGAGTTCTTTCTCTCTGCCACCTTCTCCCTGTACATATTGAGTATCTCTATTCTGAAATTCAAATGTTTGAAAATCCCAATTTTTTAATTAAAAATGTTTTTATTGTCAATGTCTTTGTGCATGCCACATACTCATGTGTATGTGTATATGTATGTGGGAGCATTGTGTGCCACAGCCTGTGTGTGGAGGTCAGAGGACAACTTTCTTCTACCTTATGGGTTCTGAGAGCCTTACCCATTGGGCCATGTCCCTGGCCTTTCCAAAACATTTTGAGTAGTGGCATGATACTCAGATGGTTGCAGGTTTGGAGCACACACACACACACACACACACACACACACAATTATGATCAAAGGGGCACTTCAGAGCTGGGGTGGGGGCAGATTAGAGAAAGAATAAACTTTTTGTTGTGGATCTGAGACATGCAGATAACTAATGGAAAATAATTTAATATCATTCACAAAAATCAATTCCAAGAGAACTGTAGACCTAAATATAAAGGCCCAAGCAATAAATTTGTAGAAGAGAACCAAGAAAATACCTTCTTATCCTTAGTATAGGGTAAGATTTTTAAAATTCAAATATAAAAAGAACTAAGCAAATTTAAAAAACTAACAAACTGGACTACATTAAAATTAACAACTTATGCTCATCAAAGAAAGACCATTTAAAAAGTGAAAAATATAAACCATCGACTGGGAGAAGATATTTCTAAGATCTATTAGTGTCAAAGTGTTTTTATCTGGAATAAAGAACTTGTACTATTCAGTTAAAAGGCTGACAAACAGAAAAATGGTGAAACGTGAATGGACATTTCACCAAAAAGTACACTGAAATGGTTAATTACCATAGCTCAACCTCAGTAGGCATCAGGAAAATATAAATTAAAATTATTATAAAATTAAAAATCAAGATTGGTGAAAATAGAGGTTGGTGACATAACTCAGCTGATAAACTGCCTTCTTTTTAGGTTGAGAACCTGAGTTCAATCCCCAGAATCCACATTTAAAAAGCAGGGCATGGTGATACACCATATAATCTCAATGCTGGGGAGGTGGAGACAGTGGGATCCCTGGGGCTTCCTAGCCACCCAGCCTAGCCTACTTGGGCAGTTCCAGACCAGTCAGAGAACCTGTCTCAAGATGATAGACAGAACCTAAGAACTAATAACAGTTGTCCTCTGGTCTCCACAAATACACACATGTACATAAAGAATTGGTGAACACACGGAACTCCCATACACTGTTAAATGGGGGTTTAAATGACTAAACTTTACAACTAAATATAAACACAATTCTAGCAATACAACCAACCAAACTGAGTGTAACTGGGCATAAGGATCATGACAAAAAAAAAATAGCATTATTCCTAGAAACCTACTAACTGGAACTAACTTAAATATCTATCAAAAGAAAAGTAGGTGAACACATGATAAAAGTTGCCAAGTCTCTACAGCAATTAAAAAAGAACTAATTCTATCTATATGCAACAATATAGATAAATCTCAAAAATATGAATGAAAGAAGCCAATCACAGATGTCTACATGATCATTTGGGGGGGGGTTGTTTGTTTTTTAAATACAAGCAAAACTAATTATGGCATAAAATTAAAGACAGTGGTTACCTTTCACTATTTTGAGGAAGTGGCAGGGATTATGATTACAAGTTTTTTGAGGTTCTAGCCATGTCCCATTTCTTGATTAATTTAACACTTTGTAATGATGTACTTGGCTTATTTGTTTTCTTTTATACATAAATCAGAAATAAGAAAATACACACAAATGTACAAACACATTAACCAGTTGCATTTATAAATGTGGAGACATTTATGATGACATCATATAATACTTGTCTATTCGTATGTCATTTTCTTCTAATTAAAAAAAAATCTACTAAAGAAGTTCTCCCTACCATGAAGACATAAAAATATAATTTTTAAAATTTTAAATGAATTTTATTCCTTCAATCAACGAGGATATCTTTTTGTTTTTAATCTTTTGAGAGAAAAGGTACCTTTATTGTTTGGATAGGCACATGTCTTAGTATCATTTTCACTGATTTGTATTGCCCATTCTTAAGTGTTCACGGATATGTCACGGATATGTTGAGGAACAAGGTGACTCAACTACTTAACTGACAGTTTGTACCTTGTCAGTGTCACAAAAAAAAAAAAAAAACTTGACAGAACCAATGTAAAAGAAGGATTTGTCTTAAGGTTTCAGGAGATCTCAATTCATCATGGCAGGGAAGGCATGCATGGTGACAGAAGTGTGTCATCAGGCGCTTGTGATGTGGGCTGATCACATAGCATATACCAGGAAGTAGAGAAAAGCAAGAGAGAGAAGGTGGCCAAGGTTGAAGAAAAGCAGAAGACTGTTAACTCATGATTCTTATTCAGGTACAGCAAAAGGACCCTACCAGCTGGATGGTAACAGCTGAACACAACACTTCTTATCTGAAATGCTTAATATCAGAAGTCTTTCAGATTTCAGATTTTGGAATTATTTGCATAGAGTTTACTAGTTGGGCATCCTAATTTGAAAACTGGATGTGCTCCAAACCTGCAACCATCTGAGTATCATGCCATTACTCAAAATGTTTTTGGAAAGGGCAGGGACATGGCCCAATGGGTAAGGCTCTCAGAACCCATAAGGTAGAAGAAAGTTGTCCTCTGACCTCCACACACAGGCTGTGACACACAATGCTCCCACATACATATACACATACACATGAGTATGTGGCATGCACAAAGACATTGACAATAAAAACATTTTTAATTAAAAAATTGGGATTTTCAAACATTTGAATTTCAGAATAGAGATACTCAATATGTACAGGGAGAAGGTGGCAGAGAGAAAGAACTCTGGATATCTGAGATCTGCTGAAGTAGCTAGACCTCAAGAACATAACAAAGTTGTTAATAGCACATATCTACTGAAAAAAAAAACTGAATTTGTAGGTTAAAGTCTTTCCACAAAAAAAATCTCCAGGTCTGCTTGATTTCACTGGTAAAACATGCCAAATACTTAAGGAAGAACTATCACCTCCATACAAACTCCAAAAAAACATAAAGACAAAATGTTTTCTATGTAATTCTAGGAAGCTGAAATTATATGATACCAAAATAAGATGAAAAGGAAAAAGGAAAAAAGGAAAGGGAGGGGGAGGGAAGGAGAGAAGAAGAAAGGGAAGGCTTCATGAGAAGAGATACTAAAATTTTAAGGTAACATAAAATCTAACTAAGTAATATAGTGAGGATAAAATAGAGTTTTTCTCAGGCAAAGTATATTTAACATTTGAAATAAATCAATGAACTTCATTAAAAATATAAAAAATGGGTATTCATCTCTATAGATGCAGAAAAAAATGTTTGAAACATATATCCACTCGGATAAAAAAAAAAAAAAAACTCCTAGTAAACTAAGAATAGAAATTACACAATAAGAGTATCTATAACTAGTTTCAAATTTAATCCTGAAAAGACATTTTCCCCCTAAGAAAAAGATAAAATATCTATTCCTCCCCACCACTTGTGTTTAAAACTACAGTAAAAAATCTAACTAGTACATTAAAGAAAGGATTAAGAGCACTCAAAATAGAAAGAAGTGATACCGGATTTTCAGATGACAAGACTATCTATGTAGAAAATCTAATGGATACTACCAAAAACCTAATGGAACTAATAAAGGAATTAAAAGTAAGTTGCAGGTTATAATATGCAAAGCAGCCTATTTCTAAATACTAATAATGAAAAACCAGAAATTGAAAGTGAGAACAGCAGCACTATAATACTATCAAAAAACTGCAACTCATGGGCATGAATCCTACAAAAAAAGATGTGCCAAATCTATTCTATTAAAAAGTACAGCTGGGCATGGAGGCTCAAGTCTGTAATCTTAGAACTCAGAAGGCTGGATAGAAGGCTATCATGAGTTCACCATCAGTCTGGTCTACATAGTGAGTTCCAGGTCAGTCTTGGCTATAGAGTGAGATCCTGTCTTAAAATAAATAAATAAAAAGTAAAAATAAAAAGTACAATATATTACTGAGATAAATCAAAAAGCTACATCAATTAAGAGGTATGCTTTTTCATTGCTGAAGGATTCAATATCAGTAAAATATAAATTCTACCCAAACTGATTAACACATTTAATATCTATCAAAATCTTAGTATCTTTATTTTTAGAAATTTACCAAATGATTCTAAAATCATATGGGCCCACAAAGGACTCAGAATAGCCACACAACTGTGAGAACCAATAAATTTTTTTTTTTTTTTTTTGGTTTTTTGACACAGGGTCTCCCTGTTGCTCCAGCTGGCCTGGAACTCACTAGGTAGACCAGGCTGGCTTTGAACTCACATAGATCTGCCTGGCCTCTGCCTCCCAAGTGCTGGGATTAAAGGCGTGCACCACCACACCCAGACAAACCCAATAAATTTTAAAGGCCAACATTATTTTATTTTTAAGACTCATTATAAAGCTCTAATTATCAAGACAGTGATACCCAGATATACATATATATCAGTAAAATGGAACAGAATTTGAACATAATTCATACACATGTTGATTACTGGTTGTAGCAAAGTGGGAAAGTAATTCAATGGAGGGGGGAAAAAACCTTTTCAATGAGGCGTCCATATGAAAAAGCCAGGGCATTTACTTTATATGGTGAACAAAATTTTACCCCGTGAAAAGTAAATCTAAATGTAAAAACCTAAAAACTTCAAAATTTTAGACGAAAACCTAAGAAAATCTCATGGCTCTAGCTTAGACAATTTCTTAGATATGCACCAAAAGAACAAGTTCATAAAAGCATAAGTCACAAAAGAACAAAATTTTAAAAAATCTTTTGCTCCACAAAAGACATCATTAAAGGATGAAAAGAAAATACAAATACATATTACTCATACCTAGAGGAATAAATACTCTGTACATTAGATACACAAATCCTTCTCTGAACCAAGGACTATCAGATATCCATTCCCTAGTAGAGGTAAAAATAAAGTACACTGCAAATATGCTAGAAGTTTACTAGAAGTCTTACTGGGTGTAGAGTTGCCTGTGGTTATAACATACAAAGCTGAAATAGTAACTATCCTAGGGCAAGGTCTTCTGAAGGAAGATCATGAGTTTGAGGCCAGCCTGGGCTACACAGAGAATTTAAGGCTGGATTGATGAGGTCTCAAAAAAAAAAAAAAAAAATTCAAATGGAGCCAACGATAAGAAGTAATCAAGATGGACAGATATCAATGTAGAAAAGAAAAATCAGAGGCAGATGGATAACATCCATCTGTATGTGAGCTGGGAGTTGAGTGATTTATCTATTGGGGGTAACCCACGTCTCTAGCATAGCAAGGAGGTCACAGACCCCCAACACTCTCATCTCTCCATGCAAATTTTACAATCCATGCTTTCTGAAACATACAAATTTCAAGCCCATCAGGCTTTTGTTGCTTCTGCTTGAGATTCCTGTCTACTCCGCTGAACAACCATTCGGTTTTCAAGAAAAAATTACTATGTTTTGACTGTCTTAATTGGTTCTGCTAATATTTGAGTCAATTTTATCTAAGAATTCTGGCTGCTAATTCTTCTGAAATTCTATCTGAAATTCAGGTACTCTTCCACCTAAGCAAAACTCATTCATGCAATTCCTGTCCTACATCACTTAGATGTAGGCTACTTGGTTATTATGGAGTGAGGTTGTTCCAACTTCAAACCTAAGAAATAATATGTCCGTGTGATTATTTTAGACAACATATATACGCTATACATAGCACGCACACGTATCCATGCTAAGGACTTCTATCATCCCAAATATAACTCCATTAAGGGTTGTTCTTACACTCATAATGAAAACAAAAACAAAAACAAAAAACAGGGCACAGAGAAGCTAAGAAATTTTCCCAAAATCAAAGACTTAGGAAGAACGAGAGCTAGGCAGTACACCAACACAGACAAATCCTAAGTGCTGGGTTATAAACACTTCCAAAATGGAACCTTTCCCCTACCTTTCTTGCCCAAATTTCCAAGTAGGAGGGTAAGAATATCTTTATTTGTGCATCAGCTACGATTGTATAGCACCTGGAGCGGCTCCACAATCCTTTTAAACAGAGTGCATGTAGGTCCTTGAACTTGGAAACTTCCTGAAGACAGGAGGCACATCACGGGCCTAGCTCGTGTCTACCAGACCACCCCCCCCCCCCCCGCCCCCCTATGCAAGTTTACGAATCCCCAAGTATTTACCAGCCGGTTCTGCTTTATTCAGTACATACACATCCTCATGCACAGCAAGCACTGCGCGCAGCCAACTTCAGGCTGCTACCAATTTCCACATTCGGACCCAACAGGAATTCAGCAACCTTAGCATGACGCCGATCGCGACAGGGCACCTAACAGGATTCTCCAAAATGGAATAGGGCGCTTACTTTGGTGTCTCAGCAGTGAGTTGATTTGTGTAGCCATTTCGATTAGTATGGCGTTTTCATCATCTTTATCGATTCATCGCAGGGGAATTAAAAAAAAAAAAATCTAGCCCAGTTGTGAGGGAAAACAAAAAGCTACCGGGACGCCGGGGCAGACTAGCCGTGGCGCGGCTGCATCAGCATCCCACTCACGCGCCGGCGGAGCACTGGCGACGCGCGTCAGGCTCTGGAGTCCGCGGGGACGCGCCGAGCGACTGCAGCTCTCGCTGGACCCGGAGGCAGAAAAGGCCTCAAGGCGGCGGGCGCCGAGCTCTCGGAAGACCGCGCTGGCGAGCGGCGGGAACCCGGGGTCTCGCAGGAACGCCGGGGCACCCAAGTTCTCTTCAGACCGCGCGGACGCCCCAGGTCTCGTCAGGCCGCGCAGGAGAGCGGCATGGGGCCCACTGGCACCCGAAGTCTCGTCAGCCAGCGCGGGCGGGCGGTGCTGCGGGACGCGGAACGCGGAACGTGGCTAGCTCGGCGGCGTCACCGGGGGGTTGAGGGGCGACGCCAGGACCGCGAGGAAGCCGGGGCGGCAGCGGAATCCACTCGGCCCGCCCTGCGACTTTGAAAGCAGTGCCCCGGACCGTTCCTTGGAGACGGTGACGCCGCGCCCGTCATCACGCGGGCGTCGTCGCCTGCGTCAACACGCTGTCCCGGCTCCCGGCCTGCGATTGGCTATCCCTCCGGCGGATCCCGGGAACTCACGACCCCGGCCTGTTGCTCCTTGGTCTGCCGATGTACCGGCCGCTGTCTCAGCGTGCGGAGCGCGGCTCTTGAGTTATTTCATAAGGAAACCGGAAACTGTGACGGAGCGGGCACTAGATACATATTTTAATTTCCCTGGGTGTTTTGGATTGTCCGACACAAAGGGTCTGCGGGGAGGGAGAGCCTGCTGACCGCGTGGAGACGAGGGAGGTGGTTTCTCGGGCGAGGGGCCGCGTCTGCGTCTCTTCGGAGCTGGCTTCGCTGCATGTGGAGACACCGTAACCCCACAAGTCTGGGCCTCGACGAAAGGAGGCGGCGGTTTTTTTAAAAGTAAAATTTGCATTTGTGGAGTTTAAGATTCTCTGTTCGGAAAATTGATTTTGTGTGGGTTTGACCGTAGGGTGTTTTTTTGTTTGTTTGTTTGTTTGTTTTTTAATGTGTATGAGTGTCTTAGCTACACGTAAGCTCCCGTATCGTGCAGAGCCACCGAGCCAGAAGAGGGCGTCATCCCCCGGAACTGGAGCTGTCGAGGATTGTAAGCCACCATGTGGTACTGGGACTGGGACCTGGATTCTCTGGAAGAGCACAGTGAGTGCTCTTAACCACTGAGCCATCTCTTTAGCCCAGAGCTGCAGAGCTTTTAAAAACAAAAAACACATTGGAGAAAACCACATTAGCAATGAAAATGTTAACTTGAAGCTACTCACTACTTTTAGTGCTCTTTTAATAGATTGTAATTTTATACACTGAAATAGAGTTTTCTTAAACCAGTAATGTCGGCGCTGAGGCGATGACTCAGTTTTTTGTAAAGTGCTTGCCTGAGTTGGGGTCCCCAGCACTCACTTTAAAACCCAGCAGGGCCCTGTGTGCCTAATTTAATCAGAACAGTGGGGGGGTCAAAGACATGAAGATGAGGGGAAGGGAGATGCTTTCTAGCCAGCCAGCCAGTCAGCTTAGGCAGCCTGGAGAGCTCCAGGTTCAGTGAGAGATCCTCTTTCAAAAGGTGAGGTTGAAAGCAACGGAGGAGGACAGTACATCAATAGGTGCAAGTGCACATCCCTCCCCGCTCCAAAAAAAAACGAAAAACAAGTATCTCCTAGAATAAGTTCTCTTGGGCTTTCTGTAAGAGGAAGTTTTTAAATCCTGTACTCCCAAAGCAATATGAACGTTAGCAAAATATACTAAGAATTTTAAAAAATAGTTCATGTGCCCAATTAGATCTTCAAGGCCTATTATGAACCTTACTCTATAAAGACCAGCTGTTACATGTTCCTGTTTCTTTAATAACCATACATGTTTTAACTTTGAATAGGTGAAGATTAAACGTTTTGATTTTGAGTGGCCACAAAGTTAATAAAAAACTTGAATTGAAAGGGAAAATTGAATATGCAGTCTCCATCTCTTTTCTGAAGTTCACCGTAGGACTGGGTGAATTCACTGGCTCTCCTCAAGAACTCCTTTGTACTTTTCCCTACATTCATATTATAGTGTAAATTGGAATTGAATACATAGTTACAAGTTGAGTATTTACACTCAACTTGTGTTTTATCAACTAAGTATGGCTTATAGTGGGTTCTAATAGAAATGATGAATGGCTTTGGTCTTTGTCTAAATTGATTAGTAAAACTGGAACTTTTATATCTGTATTTGAAGTATTTGGTTTTATAGGATCAAGATCAAAATCAACACAAACCATAGCCTTTGTTTTTATGTGTGATTGATTACAAGACTTTACCAGCTGGGTTTTGATGGTGTATTTTCAAAATAATTATCATTATTAATAATCAAAATTGTTATTGCACCAGTAGCATTTCTATTTTTAAGTCTTCCCAAGTTCTCCATCTACTTTCTCCAAGGTAGGTCACTTCAGTACATACTTCACCTGTCTTATGCAGTCTTTATTGTGTTTTTGCTTTTGTTTTTGTTTTGTAATTTGCCTACAGGCTGTGTCATAATACCTGAAAAACAATAAAGTTCAGTAAATAATTGCTGAAGGAATTAAAAGAATTCAGTGACTGGGCATAGAAAGTATCAGTGTGAATAGAGTACAGGAATGAGAAGTGATAAAATATGTGCCTAATTATTCTGAAGCTACGCCAGATTTTTATATAGATTCTTTTCTGCAAATAAACTCCTTGAAAGCCAAGACTTGAGAGCTAGAGGCAGGAGGATCAGGAGTTCAAGACTATCATCAGTTAAGTAGTGAGCTTGAGAACAACCTAGGCTATGTGAGAACCTGTCTCAAAGTAGGGGTAGATGCCAGAAAGCTGGAAAGTGGTCCATGAGTAGGAGAAAGCGGTTCAAAGAAAGGGAAGAGGAGAGGGTAATAGAGCACACGTGATAAGAAAGTGAGAAGGTGGATATTAGAAGGTTCAAGGAGATTGTGGGGTGTGGAGATGGGGAAAAGGTGTTTGGAACATGAACCCAAACTAGGTATGTATGAAAAGGCACAAGGAAACTTGTTATTTTTGTATGCTTATTAAAATAAAGAAATAATAGAAAAATCCCCTAGAATTGTATAAATTGACCATTAATGTCAGATTTTAGTAATACTAATTTTTATGAGTTGACATTGAATACTTATTATTCTGAAAAATATTCCTGAAGAATGCAAAGCTGGAAATTTAAGAAAGTTTCAAAGCTAATCACAGAGGATTTGAACCCAGGAAGTATAGTTTCAATATTACAACCATTGACTACTGTGTAGTATAATTTATATCTAATGTTTTAATATTTGTAGTTTTTGCTTACATGTCCATTTAGTCTCTAGTTGTAGTAAATGAATTGCTGCTTTACATGTTCTATTACATAATCTCAATGACTTACAATTCATTTTCAAATGGTTTTATATTATTTGTGTTGAATTATCCTTCCCTCTTAAAAAACAAAAGGTAAATAACCGCCATACAGTGGTACGATTAAAAGCTTTCAGATGCTAATTTGTGTGTCCTTTCAACATTTTTGTTCTCTTTCGAACCTTCAAGTCCTTCAAACATCCTGGCCCAGAACTCTTGGGCAGCTGGGCAGAGCCTAAAACAGAGCCTTGTGGGGAGAGCTGGGCCAGAGACCACAGCTTGCAAAGACTGAAAACAGCTTCCTGGTTGTGTTGTTTTGCCTTCTCCCTGGTGTTCCTTGCTTTTTCTAAGTCTTTCATTAGCTCATACTAAAAGTATCTTACTTTAATGCTGCCTTCCCCAGCTGACACAGATTACTCTGACTTTCCAGCTAACTTCCTCCTTCCTCCATTTGTCTTAGAAATATGCAATGCCAGGCAGAATGCTAACTAAAAGGAGATACGTATTGTAGAAAAAGTAAAGAATTTTTCATGACTAAAGGAATTTGGAAAATTTCCTTGTAAATCGATTTATTGGAAAACTCTTTTCCTTCTTTTAAACTTTTTTTCTTTTTCTGAATCATTAATGTAATGCTTCAGGAGTCTGTCTCCCTTTTCATTTCCTTCATTTCTTTCCCATAGTAAAGGTAAATCAATGAAAATAATTGAATTTTTAAAAACTTCTATGTTAGTTGAAAAAGCCAGGTTAAAAGTGAAACTACAGATTAATAGTTTTAAGAAAATCTAAACAACTAAATTAAAATTGCAAAGAAGGATGGTGATCACCTTAATAATATTCGTTCTGACTTTCTGTAAATGTTCTATCATGGTGCTATTTAAGAGATTTAGCCTTAAATTGGGCTTTAAAAATGTTTTCAAGTTATTATTTTTTATTTTTAACTAACTTTTTGTTCTTTGAGAATTTCATACATGCATACAATATACCTTGGTCATAATTATTCCCCATTCTTCCTCCTCTTTCCCAATCTACCCCTCCTTCCCACTCCCTCCCAACTTTGTGTCCTCTTTTTAATTTTTTTATAACTCACTGAGTCCATCTTGTGCAGCCCATATACTCATGGATGTGGGGCCATCCCCTGGAGCATGGTCAGCCTACCAGGGGTCATACCCTTAAAGAAAACTGACTCTATCTACAGAAGCTATCAACTGTCAGTAATCCCTCAGCTAAGGGTAGAGTCTCCTGAGCCCCTGTTCTCCCTGCATCCCATATTGGAATGTTGATTTGGCTTAATCTTGTGCCAGCAACTGAAGCTGCTGTGAGTTTGTGAGTGAAATGATCCTGTCTTGTCCAGAAGATACTGTTTCACTCCATCCTTCCCAACCTCTGGCTTTTACAATCTTTCACTCCTTCTTCCATAATGTTTTTTTGGAAAATCAATATGTGATATAGATGGACCATTTGTGGCTGACAGACACTTATTCTCTACACTCTGTTAACTGGCATCCTCTGGTGCACAAAGAAGCTTCTCTAGTGAGGTCTGAGAGCTGCATAATCTGTTCATGTAGAGAGATGTATTTAGAGGGCAGTTTGATATTATGTGCATTTATCAAAATAATAGTAGTAACTGACACTACTCACAGGTCTCTCATGTAGTGGTGTGAGATTGTGCCTGAGATGTGTATCACAGCATATATGCAAATAAGCTTGCTGTTTTTGTATTTCTTATTTTATTAATTAAATTTTTTCTTTGATATTTTCTTATATGTATAAAAGGCATTTTAACTATGCTTACCTCCCACCCCTGACAACTGCAGCATAAATCCCTTTCAAATGTTTATGTCTTTTTGTTTTGTGACTCACTGAGGTTACTAAGGCTATCTAAATAGCCTTTGGAACAATCCATTGGAGCTTGTTGAGCTCAGTAGTGGGTATACAACTGAAGACAATGATTCTTACCCTTCCTGAATCTTTCAGTAGCCAATAGTTCAACAGGAAGAGGTAAGGCTCAATGACCCCTCTCTGATTTGTAACCAAATATTGACAAGGCCAGTCTTATGCAGGTGCAGTGCAGGTAATTACAGCTGCTTTGAGTTCCAGATGGCAGTGGCTGTGTCCTACCTGGACACTGTCAGCTGGCACTTCTTTTCCTTCTCTTTGACTCTTACATTCTTTCTGTCCCATCTTCCTTGATGAGCACTAGAAAAGATAGTATAAATGTCTTGTTTAGAGATAGGCACTCAATGGTCTCTTACTAGCCAGCAATGAGTCACTACATTAGTCAGTGTTCACTGCAAGGAGAGGCTTCTCATAGCATTTACTTATGGGTATAAACAGCTAAGTAGAAGGCAGTTTGAAACTGTCAATTTACCTAAGTAACTGTAATAAGATCCCCACTAGGGCCTATAACTTCCCCAGCCATATTTATTTTAAGTGAATTTAGAGTGCTATGCCTAAGCTTTCTTTTTTACTAAACTAATGCATAATTTTTGCATCTTGCTTGTTCACTTCACAATTTATTTTTATGTGTATGAGTGCTTTGCCTGCATTTATGTAAGTACCCCATGTGCAAACAGTGTCCACAGAGACGAGAAGAGGGTATCAGATCCCCTGGAACTGGCGATCTGTTGTTAGCTACCATGTGGGTGCTAGGAACTAAACCTGGGTCCTCTGCAAGAGTAGCCAGTGTACCTTACCACTGAGCCATCTCTCCAGCCCAGTTTGATATTTTGAAGTCTAAGACTTTGGTTTTTCTAAAACCTGGTTTGGTGAAGGGATCTCACACTATGTAATTGCACTATAAAACCAACAAGTTGATAGTGAAAGTGGTGACTTTGTTGATTACTTACATAATAATCTGAAACTCCCCATGGACTTCTTACACATTAGTATTTTCCTCAGATCCTGCTATGGTATCTCAACATCTGAACAAGATGAGTGATTAAGGGTCTCCTGTATAGCTCTGGCTGGCCTAGAACTCCTTATGTAGACCAGGCTGCCCTGGAACTCACAGAGATCCACCTGCCTCTGCCTCCCAAGTATTGGATTAAAGGAGTGTACCACCATACCTGACAAGACATTTCTGAGTATGTTATAACAATTTTATTATAGTCATTGTATTGATATATAGTGTTATAACAAGACATTGATGCCACTGACACAGTCGGTTTCTTCTACATAAAACCTTACTGTCACAGAATTTTAGCTGTAGAGACTAGAACAGTATTTGCTCAACAAATGAATAGCTCCTAGTTCAAGTATTCTAGCTCAGATTGGGAGATAATAAGTAAATATGTCATATAGCGTAAGTGATATGGATCAAAATGGAGTAGCATAAGGCCTGGCAGGGTGGGGAACACCAGGTGGTGAAGGCCATTGATGTCTACTTACTCAGCATGTGTGCAAAGAAATTGAAAGGCAGTAGGAGTAAGTCTCAGGAAATGACTAGGGAACTGAGAGGAGAATTGTCTGTGAATCCATGTTTAGATTATCAGTGGGAACATACATTTTAGGTTAATTTTTAAGTATTTTATACACTTGGATTGATACAAGTGTTCTTTAATCAGTATAAACTTTTCTAATGAAAATAAATGAGATGTTTATAAAATGCCCATCCAGAGTTTTCAACAAAATGTAGTTTTACTAATCTAAATACTGAGTCTTTCCATTGAATACTTAGAAAAACAATTGAAAAGACAAGTGCTGCTTATTAAAGCTTAAATGATAGTAGATTCTGTTCTCATTTTGCAATTAGAAGTTATTAAACAGAAAATTGATTATTTAATAATTGAAGTGACAATTGAAAAGGCAAAAAGAAAATATATAACAGGGATGAAGGAAGACAAAATTCAACTCTTCTAAGGATTCTTCCCACAAAGAAAACAATTACTAACCCAGTAAATAGATTTTTTTAAGCACTTCTACTAATTTTTAGAGACTTTTTATTAAGCTAAATTTTATTTTTGAGTGCTTGATTTCTAGAGAATCCAGTTACCTGAATACTTTTCAATTAAACAGACAGGAGTCTCGCTCTTACTAGGATTCAGGGGTGTTCCCTTCTCTCCTCAGCCAGGGCTGAAGGCTGAGATCAGCCCTTGAAGATTGTTCTCAGTCAGGACTGCCACAAGTCAGGTGCCTTGTTTTCCTCCCACAGACATTGAAAGAAAAAGAATAAAATGTAAAACTCGTGCTTACAGTTAAATGCATTAACAGTTTCTACAGTGGACTTAATTATAAATCTTCCAATAATTTTTATATAGCAGAAGGAAACAGAGCTACATCTAGAGCTACATCTGGACCAAAAGTCATGAAGCTTTTAGGATCCAACTATTTCGGAATAGAACTTGAAGTCCATGAGTTGCCACAACACAAATGGCCTTTTTTGTCGTGTGTGTGTCCCCCCCCCCCCCCCCCCCGTTCTTGCCACTCTGTTACTGCCTTGCTGTCTGCTGCTGTTTGGCATTTACACTTTCACTTCATTTCTCCATAAAGGAAACTTTTGTTTATTGTTGACAAATTTATTTTAATATGCTTCTTTAGATGGATTTTAAAATTGAACACACCTGGAATGGTTTTCCAGCGAGGTACAAGCCAGTGTTTGTCAGGCTGAGTCCAGGTGATAACAGAGTCTTGATGGAGGTTAGTGCTCCATTTTTCAATGATCCTCCAGCTCCTCTTGGAGAACCAGAGAAGCCTTTTAATGAACTGTGGGACTATAAAGATAAGTGAAAAGATTGAATTTTATTACAAACATAAATCTTTTGACAATAACCTTTCTCAGAACTATTTATTTTATCTTGCTGATAGGAACTAATGTGGGCTTTGGAACAACTGACGTGCAGTTTCTGATATTTCTTGCCAATCCGTTAGTCTCACTTTTCCCATTACCTGTGGAACGTCAAAATATAAAGAGAGTTGTGAAAATGACAATTACAAATTTATATTTTTATGTTGCTGCCTATTTCCTTCTTTCCTAATATAAAACCTAATATAAAAAGTTCAGTATTCATTTTTTTGTGTTTAAAAATCTTCAGATTGCCATTTTTACCTTATACACCTTCTTTATGGGGATTTTGGAATGTTTTGCTTATTAGAGAAATATTGTCAACATGAGATTTAATATTTGCTTTATGCTGTCAGGTAATCTTATATATCAAACTAGGGCTGAAAGGCATGTCAAGAAATTAAAAGGTTTCAGGTTTGTTCTGAGTCTCTCGTACTAACTATAGCGTGTATCTTAATCAAGTTACTAGGTTCTTCTTTCTGAAATACAATTCATGATGTCATTCCCCCAGATCATAAAGCATTACTGTAGCCATCCTGACAGGAATAAAGATATTCTATAGAGACATTTGTGACTCTCCCTTTAGCTATCAGACTATTGAAACAATGGATCCTGAGAAATTAGAATTCCTCCCAGGAATCTTATGATAGGAGAAAGAAAAGCCTGGGTACTCAGTTGCTAGCCTCAGGAAGAGCTGGTTCCCAGGAGTTCACAACTTGTCAGACCACCTTGAAGAGACTGGAAGCTGAGATAATGGTGGGTTAGGATTGCTTAATGCATACCTCTTGTCTTCTATTTTTAAACCTAAATTTCATGTCAGGACTTGGTTGGGGAAGGGGTCTGACTGCACTACTTTATTTTTCTCCGTGTACCACACTGAATGAATCTCATTTTTCTGCTTTTCAGTATTAGTTTGTCTCTTTAATTGACCTATTGAGAACCAGTAACTGAGCCTGGTTTGTTAGGGCTGCCAAGGCCCAAGCTCTGACCATAACAGTCCTGGTAAAATTGCTATCCCTAGGATAAGATTCCAACCATCTTTACAATCCTTATAGACATAAATAAATTGTACCACTACATTTACCAAAAACTCTTGAGTACTAACAAATAAAGGCCTTACTGTCCATGCGCATTCTCACACGTGTACCTTCTCGCTCTATTTCCTCTGCCTCTGTTATGCACAGTTAAGGTCTAATTCAGGTCCCCTGTCTTCAAAGATGCCTTTGTGGAATACTCTAGTAAATATTAACATCTTTTTCTCTGTCATTTGTGTAACATGCCATTTTGCAGCATTAATTTATTATGTGTTAAACATATCTAGTTCTCCTCTTCCTTTTCCCCCCTCCTCCTCCTCCTTTTTCTTTTTGGTACTGTTATCAGACTTAGGGCATGGCCTCTGCTCCAACATGACAGATTTGGCCATCTGTCCTTGATAAGCCAATCAAAACAGCTAAATTAATAATAGTGAAAAACTAAAAAAAGTTTATTCAATATGGCCACCTTGGGAAGAGGGACAGAGCAATCCAGTGATCCCACCCCACCCCAAGTTCATCTTTGGAGGCCTGCCATGAAGTTAAAGTTTAAGAAAAGAGCCAGAGTAATGAATATCTAAGTGGTCCAGACACCTTGATGGGTCCCACCCATCATTGACTCATCATTGTTTTGGCTCCATTCTCTTGCAAGGTAGTCTGTCTAGTGCCGGTGCCAGCCGGCCAAGATGAACAGCACCTGAAATGGGGAGCGAGGATGAAAGAAAAACGAGACAGAGAAAGGATACTCGGGAGGACTGTCAGTAGAGACTGCAGCCCCGGTTTGTTTTAGCTCAGCCTCTTTGTATAGTAGAACATCAGAGATAGCCACCGTTTGTTTAGCTCAATTAGCTTCAACAGCTGTTTCTTCCCACCTTTATCTGAGGGTCAAGGAACGGTCAAATACTTGTGAATTCCACCATTTAACCATCTCCCCTAAATTAACACATTTCCTCCTGACTTGGCAGAACAATTCGGTACTGGTGTGCAAAACACACAAACTCTTGAGTCAAGGTGAAAGATCATAAAGTAAACAAGCAAGCCTGCCACAGCTAAATATACATAATGGCTGTGCTTATACTAATAGCTCCCAACAGTCTAGCTGCAAATCTTTTCAGGACAGAAAAAAGTTTCCCTTCAGATTGGCTTAGGCTTTAGGCTTTCTCTTCTCCCAGCATGAGATTCCCACAGATTTCCAATTTCTTGGGTCCATTGTTTCAATAGTCTGAGAGCCAAAGTGAGGGACTCAGTTGTCTCTTTAGAGTGTCTTTATCCCAGGCCAGTTACAGTAGTGGGCATGTAGCCTGGAGCCTTATACATGCTAGATAAGAACACTAACTGCCTCTGAGCTATGCCCCACCCTTTTTGTCTTTTGATTTAGAACTTTTGTATACTAGATTCCCCAAGGTGAATACATCTACCAAGATACTGTAGACCCCAGACTCAACAAACCCTAATATAAACTAATCTATTTTTCTCATAAACCTGTGTTGACAAAAGAAACGGCTCTCACCTCAAAGGAACAAAGGAGGTGATTTATTCTGGAGTCAAATATGAGTGACTATGGCCTAGGAAGATAGATTCAGGTTTCCAAAAATACTGTGTTGCAGCATGGTAACAGTTCATAGTAGCAGAACAAAAAAATCATAAATCAAGACACTTTTCAAATACATTGATGGAAACATCAGGTAGATTATAGAATAGCAAAGAAATTTCAGCTGTAGGCCTCAGATGCTGTCTGATAGTATTAGGCTTTTGGTTGGTAGAAATTGGGGATCTGTTTGTACATTCCAAATGATTTGTCTAATGATCACAAAGATGTTAGGCCACATACAGAGGAGGGCAATAAGTGACTATGAACGGGGCTAAGGATGGCCCAAGATAATTTGGCTCTGGACCTGCAGCTTTCCAACCTTTCCGCATCACTAAGTTTTAATCAGTCAGCCTGCCTTTTCACAGCTTCTTTCCAGAAATTTTCATTCATTCCTGCTTCTTTCCTAACGTCTTTGCGTGTAAATCGTACCAACAGTACCTCAAATCACCAAATGTAGAATATATGAGTTTTCCCCAAGATTTCTTGCTCACTCTATTTGGATTTATTTACTAAGAATTTATTCACTTGGTTAGCACAGAACCTTCTAAATAATCTTTTTGCCTTAAGTCCATTTTTAACTTCAAAACTAGAGTGATCTATCTAAAATGAAAATTTAAACTTCAAGTAAAAGTTTTTTTAAAGCAAAAAAACATTCTGGGTGAGTATGATTTCATATTTTTTTCTTAATTTAAGTAGTCTGGGTTAAGCAAGCAGGATGCATGGTTATAATCCCAGCACTCAGCAGGCAGAGGTATGCCAACACCTGTTCTGTGAATTCAGGGCCAGCCTAGTTTATATACAAAAACATAACAAGAAACTAACAAAAAAATCTAATCAGGTGGAATAATTTTTAGAAGCACAGAAAAACTCTGGCTGCTTTTAAGCCAAAGAGGAAAGAAAAGGTTTTGCTTCATATATATTTGTGTTGTTTTAATTATTTATAAGAAAGAGGTATAATATCTACAATTAACCAACTTTTAAAATAGTTAATACTCAGAAATTTCCTGGAAATTATAATTTAAAAGACCACCAATCAGGAGCTGGGGAGGTGGTTCAGCAGTTAAGAGTACTGGTTGCTCTTCCAGAGGACCTGGGTTTAATTCCCAGCACAGAAATGGTGGCTAATGATTGTCCATAACTCTGATTCTAGGGGATCTGATACTCTCTCCTTGCCTCCATGGGCATTGCACCCACTTACATACACACAGACAAAACACTTATATGCATGAAAAAATAAAAATGAATAAAATATAAACAAGATCACCAATCAGAGATAACCAGTCTTTTAAATAATTTTTTTATTTATTATTTTTATTGTATGAGTGTATTGCTTACATGTATATAAGTGCACCTGTGTCATGCAATGCCCACAGACATCATAAGAGGGTGTCGGATCCCCTGAAACAGGAGTTATGGATGGTTGTTAGCTACCATGTGGGTGCTGGGAATCAAACCCGGGTCCTCTGCAAGAGCAATCAGTGCTCTTAACCACTGAGCCATCTCCCCAACCTTGAAAAGCTGATCTTTTTTAAATTAATTTTTTAAATTTATTTTTATTTTATGTGTATGAGTGTATTGCCTCCATGTGTGTAAGCACACCAGTGTTGTGCACCCACATAGAAGAGGTTGTTGGATCTCCTGGACCTAGAGTTATGGATGTTGTTAGCCACCATGTGGGTGCTGGGATATGAACTGGGCTTCTGCAAGAATAACCAGTGCTCTTAACCACTGAGTCATCTCTCCAGCCCAAAATTAATTTTTTTACATTTTATTTAGTGTGCACGTGTGTGTGTCTGTGTGTCTGTGTCCCACTGCGTGCTTGTGAAGTCAGCAGACAACTTGCAGCATTAGATTATCTTCTTCAACTATATGGGTTCTACATATTGAACTCAGATTGTAAGGCTTGGTGGTAAACCCCTTTACTGATTAAACAATCACACTAGCCCCACCACTCTTAATATTTTTTTGTGACCGTGTAGTAGACATGTAGCCACTAACAACACACATGCACACTTAAAGCTTTTGTGCATTTGGTTCATTTCTCATACATTTAATTACTGCTTTATATCCTACTTGTAAATATCATGGATATTTTGTCATGCCTATCTTTGATTTAAATTAGATACATGAATTCTATAATTTATCAGTTGTTGTGAATAATACGTGATTTGCCTATACAACAAGAGATAATTTTATATAAGAAAAGAGAGCTGTTTATATCAAACTATATGATTTATAGTTTTGAGGGTCATACTCTGAATGGAGTTACACTTTCTTTTTCTAGTTGTATGATTCATTTCCTTAGGATAAGTTCCTAGAAGAAGATAACTGGCACAGAGTCTACTATGTAATAATGTTGATTTCCCTATGACCTCACCAGCACGAGGTTTTAAATTTCTTTTTAATTTATGGCAATCCTATATGGGAGAAAATTGATGATGACTTATTTCCTATGTTTCTCTTCCTCTGGACTCTGTGTACTTAGTTTGCCCCCATTCCTAATGGGAATAGTATGATAATTTTAAACACTTAGTTAATTTGTTTTATATTCTAAAGGAATAAATTGTTTACTGCTGAATCAAAATTAACTTTCTCATATCTGTTTTCATAAGTTGTGGAATAATTTTTCTTGAATGATATAACTGAGCAGTATTTAGAAGTTGAAATTTGTCTGTAAGTAGAAAATATTTTCCTTAATCATTTCTACATAATTTGAACATTTTTTTCTAGTTATAAACTATATTGTTATAATAAAGCTCGCTGATTCCAGTTAAGTAGAGATGAACTGAATTGTTTGAACTCTATATATTTACTGTCATGTACAGTGCATATATTTAGAATATTTGTTTAGAATCTGTATTCTAAGTTTGAGGATATTGTTATGATTTTTAGTTTATTATTTTAATTTTTGCAATATATTTGAAGATAATTTCTTACAAACTGAAAACATTATTATAAAACAAACTCTTGTTACTTTATACATTTGCTTCATTATATACTATTTAGAAATAAAAGGAGGCTTATAGACATAATAGCTTATGGAAATGCTTCATTTAGTTGATTTTTAAATGATTAAACTTTGATATTGTGCATTATACAATTATGTGCTCATATACTTTTTCCTTTTTTCCTTTATTTATTCATTTTTTGAGCATATAATGTCTCTTTTTTTTTTTTTTTTTGCACTTAATGCCAAGAATAAAATCTAAATCATGCCTGGATTTTCCAAGACTCACATCAGAGAGATGGCTCAGCAGTTAAAAGCACTGGCTGCTCTTGCAGAAGACACAGGTTTGGTTCCCAGCACCAACATGGTGTCTAACAACTGTCCATAACTCCAGTTCCAGGGGATCCAATACCTTCTTCTAATCTCCACAGGCATTGCATGACACATGTGCACTTACATACATGCAGGCAATATACTCATACACATAAAATAATAAATAAAATATTTTTTTAAAAGAGAATATTACCATTGGACTTTCTTAGTTCAAATTTTTATATTCCCCTGGGAACCTTATTTACATGATAATAAACATGAGTTACCTGGGTAAACTCATGCCACCTGTCATCTAAATTATATTATTTATATATATTATTTATTTTAAGTGGTATTTAAATACCTCTCACTATCAATATCAAATAATCTTTGTTCTTTACTAGACTGGCAAGAGAGCCCCAAACAGTTAATCCACATGAAATTTTAGATATCTGTTTCCCTTATTTAGATTTTTCACTATGTTTCAGACATGGAAAATATAGATATTTACAATTACTTTAAAAATCATGATAATTATATTTTCATGACCTTTCGTATCTTTCAGTTATCCTGCCAAAATATTTAAAGCCATGTTTAGTGTATTTGTTACTTTTCTGATGCTGTAATGACCAAGGCAACTTATGGAAGAAAAGTTTATTTTGGCTTACAGTTCCAGAGAGATGAGAATCCACCAAGGTGGAGGTAGCAAGAGGCAGGCATGGCAGCAGAAGCAAGAAAACTGAGAAACTGCATCTTCAGCAACAGACACACAGCAGAGAGGGCAAACTGGAAGTGGGAGAAGGCTAAGACTCTCAATACTGACCCCCAATGGCATGCTTCCTCTAGCAAGGCCACACCTACTAAAGATTCCATGACATCCCCAAACAGCCAAATAGTGCCACTAGCTGACCAAATGTTAATGCTTAAACCTATGGGGGACATTCATATTAAAACAAACAAATTTAGTTCCTGTAAACTGTCATTTCAGATAGAAAAAGAATCCAACTATTGTGGGATGACTTTCTCCCACAGCTGAGAAAGCTAAGGCTAACATTTATAATTTATCTAAAAGACTATAAAGAACTTAGATCTGCCAAAACACAATCTTCATCCGTAGGTTTTTGTTTTGTTTTTACTATTTTTATTGAGCTTTTGTACATTTCATACAATAGTTCTTAATCAAATTTAGACGCCCACCTATAACCCCCTACCCCTCTACCAGACCTCATGAATTCTGCCATACGTGTTAAGTTTTATCCATCAACCATTTGTACCCATATGTCCCTCCATGCAAGGTCATCCACTGGAGTCTAATCAGCCTATCTAGAGATCTTAAGGAAGGTCTACTGTCCCTCACCCAGCAGTAATCAATCTCCAGCAATTCCCAGGCTAGGGCCAGAGTAGTGCCCATTTCCTACAATCCACTCTGGGCCCTTGTCTGATTGAGTGGTATGGGTCTTGAGCTCAGTGCCACCACTGAAACAAGTTCACATAAACAAGCTTCCAGTGACCTTAAAGTCTCTGTTTCTGTATAACCAACCCTGGCTATTAAAGTCTTTCTGTCCCCTCTTCTGCAGTGGTTCCTGAGCTATGGGTGGGTGAGGTTTTACTTCTCAGGGCATTCTGGAGCCAACACATATCCCTCTGGTTTCCCACACCACCCAAGCTCCATTCATTTCTCCTCTCTCACCCCATCCAACCTCCCTCCTCTCTCCCCAGTTCAAGCACCCCTATTAGCCCCACCCTTTCCCCATAATACCTCCCACCATCTCCCCTCTCCTGAGTTGTCTCCTACCCTACCCCCATGTTCCTCTGCATGTCCCTCCCTTGTCCCCTCCCAGCCAAACACTCCTACCTCCCCAACATCTCTTCCTTACTGTCTCCTTTCAGATGCTTTCATTCCATTTACCTCCATGTTTCCTTTCCATTTTTCTGGCTCCTGCTGTTAAATCAGGATCTATACTCCCATATAAGGAATTGGTACTACAATCCACAGATGTAGGAGAACATACCTGATTTTGTATCTGTGTTAACTTCACTTAGTGTAACAGTTTCTAGTTCCACCTATTTACCTCCAAATTTCATAATCTTATCTTTTCTTGCTACTAAGTAGAACTCCATTGTGTAAATGTACCACATTTTCATTATCCATTTGTCATTTAAGGGACATGCAGGCAGTTTCCGTTTCTTAGCTGTCGTGAAGAAAACAGCAACAAACATGGATGTACAGGTATTTCAACAGTAGGATGAGGCCTTTAGGTATATGCCAAGGAATGGTGTCACTGGATCGTATGGTAAGTTCATTTTTAGTTTTTTGAGGGTTCTCCACAATACTTTCCATAGTGGTTGCACGAGTTTGCCTTCCCACCAGCAGTGAATGAGCATTCCTCTTTCTCCACATCCTATCCAGCATTTGCAGTCTTTGGTTCTCTTGATCTTTGCCAATATGAGTTGGGTAAGGTGGAATCTTAAATTGGTTTTTATCTACATTTCTCTAATTACTAAGGATGTTGAGTGCTTTTTAAGGTGCTTCCTAGCCATTTTTATGTCTTCATTTAAGAAGCCTGTTTAGGTCTCTAGCCCATCTTTTTATTGGGTTATTTTCTTATTTCTTTCTTTTTGGAGATCTTTCTATATTCTGGATATTAATCCTCTATCAGATGTGTAGCTGGTGAAGATTTTCTCCCACTCAGTGGGTTTCCTCTTCCCTTCCTTAGTTGTTTCTTTTGCTCTACAAAAACTTTCTAATTTAATGAGGTTGACCTTAGTGCCTGAGCAGCTGGTGTCTAATTTAGAAAGTCCTTTCCTATGCCTGTATCTTGGAGGGTGCTACCTGTGTTTTCCTCTGGCAGTTTGTGAGTTTTGGGTTTTATATTGAGGTCTCAGATCCATTTGTATTTGACTTTTCATGCACAGTGAAAGATTAGGGTCAAGTTCCATTTTTCTATGGGCGAAGATCCAGTTTTGCCAGCACCATTTGTTGAAGATGCTTTCTTCCTTCCATTGTGTGTTCTTAGCACCTTTGTCAAATATCAGGTGGCTGAAGTGATATGAACTCATGTTTGGGTCTTCTATTGTGTTCCATTGATCTACATGTCTGTATTTGTGCCAGTACTATGCTGATTTTATGACTATAGCTGTGTAATATAATCTGAGATCTGGTGTGATGATTTTCCCAACATTGTTCTTTTTGCCCAAGATTGTTTTGGCTATCCAGGGTCTTTTGTAATTCCATGTGAATTTTAGGATGATTTTGTCAAGCTCTGTAAAGAATGTCAGAAAAAGCCAGAATAAAACCTGTAGCTAATAGAGAAACCTAATGTATAGGAATACAACCATATCAATCCATTTTCCTCTGTACTTTTAAAGATAATCTAATAAGATTCATAAACACATTTCAAGAACAGACATTTTAAATGAGATTACTGAAATCTAGTATCTCTGTGACAAATTGCTATGGTTAACAAGAAAATTAAAGTTTGTAGATGATTTTATTTGTAAAATTAAAATATTTCTTAGTCACTTAGTCTAGGAACCATGGTAAGTGGGTCCTACCTTTTTCCTTATATAACTATCAGCCCAAATACCAGTTTCCATGAACTTCAGCTAGCCTGAGACTAGAAAATCAAAATTGTACATTTTGAAACCATGTAAAATAAAATGAATTTTACTAGAAATATTTCTAGTAAATCCATCTTTGATATTAGTAGAAAACAGTTATCTATTTCCATTGATAAGGAGATTTTTATCTGTTAAGACATCAAGATACATGAGTTACTTAATACTTTTCACTGTCTTGGGATGATACTTTTACTGTGTAGAAAGAAATAAAGTAGTCTTGAAATCAGGAAGTGACATGTTCTTAATGCTATTAAACAAGATGTCAAAAGCTTTCATTTGATGTTGTAAGTATCAGACATTCCTGGTCGAAGATAAACTGGAATGCATTGATTCAATAGCCCTCTGTCACATAATAGAACATGCAGACAAGAAAAATCAACCTCAGAGTTAAACTGTATGGTAGATCAGATAGACAAAACTACAAAATATTCCATCCAAAAGCTGCAGAATGCACTGTATTTTCAGACTCTTACGGAATACTCTCTAGTGCAAGATACTGAAGACATTTGCTGAGATTCAGGTAGCTGTGCAGCTGTTTGGGTTTATCTCTACCAGAAGACTGTTAGATCTGATAAACAAATTTAGCAAAGTGTCACACTACATATCATCATGTATATAAAAATACTGCTTTTCCATACACCAATAACAAACCCACTGAGGAAGAAATCACAAAAACAATCCTATTCACAATAACAACAAAAAATGTACAAATAAACCTTGCATATTAATCACTCTTCTCATTATAGTGATAAAATACCTGACAAAAGCAACTCAAGGAAGGAAGGGTGCATTTTGGT